GTAGCCTCTGCAGGCCGTAGTATTTTCGTAGCCTCTGCAGGCCGTAGTATTTTCGTAGCCTCTGCAGGCCGTAGTTTTTTCGTAGCCTCTGCAGGCCGTAGTGTTTTCGTAGCCTCTACAGGCCGTAGTATTTTCGTAGCCTCTACAAGCCGTAGTGTCGAGTCCTTTCGATGATTGATTGTTTGATTGTTGATGAAAGACTGCCCCTAGGTGGATGGGCAGGAGATGTTTGTTGTGCCCCTGTGTTGTTGGGTAGAGAAGTTGATGGCTGGCAGGGATTCCAATGTTGCCACTGTCACGTGAATATTGTGATGCCTCTCCAGGCGTCTGCTTGTGGTAGGTTTTTTTTTAATTTTATATTTGTTTAGCTTCGGCTTTTCATGTTTGAATCTTGCCTTTTTCTGCTATCATTTTTTGAATGCTTCGACTTTTTTGACATTTTTGAAGCTTGCCTTTTTCTCATGTTGCTTTTATTTTTTTATTGTCATCATTGGTGGAGGAATCTATTCCCATGATGTTATTTTTTGAATCTTTATTGGTGAGTATTATTTTGGAAGCCACTCTTGGCTTTGGTTAGGGAACCATTTCTAGTCTTGGCATTCTCTTAGATCATTCTTCATTCAATTGAGGAGTAGGATGCGATGACCTCTTCATGCTTATGGGCTTTCTTATTCGGTCGACTCCGGTTCTATCCCGTCTTGCTGTTGATATGTTTTTTTCTTGGTGGTTATATGAAACCACTTGTATGGAATGCCTTTGTTGGGGTTATGCTTTTTGACATGATCTCAGATTTTAAGGCACTGTATAGTTGTTGATCTTTTTTTTTTTACGAGTACCTCAGCCTCTTGATTCCTCCAAATTTTTTATATATGTGTTGGGGTAGTAAGGGTGTCACAGGGTTTGCTCAGAAAAATTAAAAAAGAAAAAAAAAAGTCTAAAAGAATGTAGAAAATGCAAACAGTCACTCCATTTAATTTGAAGTATTTACTTAATTCAATTTTTATTTATCATAATTATTTATAAATTAAATATTAATATTTTAAAATAAATTATTAATAAATAAAAATAATTTTTTATTATACAAATTATTTATCAT